CTGTGGAACCTGGCCTTTCTCTCTCGTCCTCAGAGAAAGAAAAACAAATGCCGATATCCTCTGTTTAAAATATGAAAGTACCTTACACCAATAACCCCTAGCGGCCCGGGCTCTCAGTGGAACTAACTTAAGTGAAAATTAAGACAGGCATAGAATTAGGCCTTTGTTTTGAGGCTTTGGGAGAGCCGAGCTCCATTGTGGCATCTGGAGTTTCACGTGAGGCCTACACGGGTTTCAGATGGTTGCGTTTAAGATCAGTATCTTTGTGTTGGGAAATGCTGGCGACTGGGCATTGACAGCTGAGCACAGGTTGCCTCATCCCTCTCACGCTGTCTATTTTTTAATCTAACAGCTGGGAAATGCATTAAACTGGCTTTTTTGACTTCCCAGAACAATATCTAATTAGCAAATAACACAATTCAGTGACATTCAGCAGGATGCAAATTCCAGACACCGCAATCATGAACACCGTGAAGACAGTCTTCTCCGTGGGCCGCGACACAAAGCAGTCGACAGTGTTGGGACAAGGCCAGGCGTTGCACTTCACCAGCCGCTGCATGGAGAAGCCATCGTACATGACGTAGAAGACGTACATGAAGGCGGCTTCGAAGACGACCCGGAAGAAGATGCTGCTTGTGTAGGTCCACCACAGGGAGCCTTCGATGCGGACCTTCTGGGTTTTGATCTCCTCGATGTCCTTAAATTCATTCTTTATCTCCCCCTTGATGAACTTCCTCTTCTTCTCATGTCTCCGGTAGGCCACGTGCATGGCCACCAGCAGCGCCGGCGTGGACACGAAGATCAGCTGCAGGGCCCACAGCCGGATGTGGGAGATGGGGAAGTAGTGATCGTAGCACACATTCTTGCAGCCGGGCTGCAAGGTGTTGCAGACAAAGTCGGCCTGCTCATCTCCCCACACCTCCTTTGCGGCCACAACGAGGATCATGATGCGAAAAATGAAGAGGACGGTGAGCCATATCTTTCCAATGCTGGTGGAGTATTTGTTCACACCCCCCAGGATCGTCTGCAGCGCGCCCCAATCCATCTTCCACTCTGGGCGGTGTGCTCTGGAAAAGACGAATGCACACAACACAGGAATCACTAGTTAGGACGGAACAGGGAGACTTCTGTGGGTCTGGGTAAGCAAGCAAGCTTAAATCACTTCCTGGGCAAACACCAACTCTTATGCAACCTCACCAAAACAGGTGAAGACCGAACCAACTTAGTCTGTCACAGGGTTAAATGTATAGTTCCCAAACCCTCTCGAACGTGTTTTTAGGCGTTCTCTGATAAACGGTAGCTTGTTCACCTGAGTAATTCACCCAGTCTTTAAACACATCATAAAAATTTGCTGTGTCAGGGAGTGTCACAAAGTACTCGTTAGCTGAAAGGCACTCATGGGTTCTGACCGGACCCCTGCATCCTCTGCAGAGCTTCCTTGGGTCCTCCTGACTCTGCACAAGTTACTCAGCGTTCAGCAGCTGCATTGATTTGCAGTCTCAAGTTTTGGCTGTACCACTGGGGCTGATACTAGCTTGGGCCAACCTTGCTCAAAGGCTGAGAGGCCAAGTACAGGAGAACCGTGAGGATAAGATGTAACTTATAGCTCCCCTATCTAGTCTCTCTGCTGAGCCACTTTCCTTAACGTCTTGAATTAATTTTCACAGACTTGGCATGTAGCAGTGAAACTGTTGTTACCAGTGGTTAAGTTTACATTTGAGGCACCCCGAGTTAAAATTTTACAAAGCACCTTGCTTCCTTCTACATGAAAGGAAGAAGTTATGAATGCCCTCTTCATGGAGGAAAGCCACTGTGAGCGTAGACTTTCATGTAGGTTTTGTGGATGGCTTGGTGGCCTCACTGTCAGGCTGGCACTGACCGCTCAGTTAGCATATCTGTTTTGACAAGTGCTGCAACAGTGCATTATAATTGTGGGCTGTGGTTTTAATTTCAAAGTGTTTCTTAAAAGACACATTATTTAAAAAGGACAGAAAATTCAACTCCCCCGGTTACTGGCCGACTAAGCGACCTCACTGCACTGCAGTTCAGCGCTGAAGCTTGGGGGAGTCCCCCACTCCTTACTGCAAGTGGATGTGGAGAGGCCCGTGGATAACCTGCCGTGAGCCCGTGGCCTTCTTTTCATCCCAGGATGTGAACTATCTTCACTGATTCATAGTTACACCCTGCCTGCCACAAGTAACCCTCTCCTAAACAAGATTCCACCCTCTCCACAATCCAGATGAATCATCTCTTTTCCACCCTTCAGAGCTGGTAGTGAACCCTCCTCCTCCTTTTACTTAAAAGCATCCTCCTCTCCTCATTTTAGGCAAGTTGTGTCCTGTTTTCTGATGGACTCCGGAAGCAGGGTCGTAGTGAATGTCTTTCATGACCCAGAGTCACTGCCAAGGTCAGGCCGAAACCACGTAGTGTCACCTTGGTCAGAGGCGACAGGAGAGCGGTGGCCAAGAAAGTTACATTAGGTTGACACAGGCCAGTGAAACAGAGCCCCACTAAGCTTGGGAAAGACAAACATCATTGGAAAAAACAATATTTTAGTCCAGATTCAGCACTGACCCATTGAAATCCAGACTGGGAAGCCCTTAGGTGAGCTGGTTGTCCTGCTAAAGCACCTGTGGCTCAGGCCAGTACCGTCCCGACAGCAGAACCACTGAGGGCAGCAACATTCCGGTTTTAACAAAAGCATCTTACGGAATTAGACATTCTTCATTGGCCCTCACTGAGTGGAAAACAGGATACTCCCCGAAGTAAACTGTCGCCTGGTTTACACCTGGCCAAGAATATGGGGCTGCAGGAGGAGGGGTTCATCCTTTGCCCTCTTCTACCTGCCAAACCCAGGTCATATACCCTTCGACAGACCTGTCCAGTTACCATCGGCTGAGAAAAATACAGTTCCAAGAAACCCTATATTGTTCTTTTATAAAGCTTGAGCTGAAGCTACCTGTTTTAAAGATCCTTTTTCAGGAAGGGGAGTAAATTTTAATTTACTAATTAATTTACTAATGGGCTAGGGGGTCATGGGTTAAAAGGGCTCAGAAGCAGGACGAAGTTGTTTTCAATATTCAAGTCAGAGGAGGAGCTGCCCTCCTGGCCTCCCGACCCTGGGCGGTTACATGCAGCTTCCTACCGGGCCACCGCCACCGCGCACCGCCTGGAGAGCTGCCAGAGGCCAGAGGAGGAGTTGGTTCAGTTCCTTAGGGAAGACACTGGGTGTATCACCAAGTTCCAGAAAATACAAAAGGGACTTTTCACCCCTTAATTTCTCCACCCTTAGGTGATGGGTGGTCGACCTTGCCTGGCTGCCCCCAGAGGGTTCCTGCATCCTTCTCACCAGTGTCTGAAATTGTGACAGGCTTTGCACAGCAGTTTCGAAAGGGACCTGAGGTCACATGGGGACACGGCCCTGCCACCCTTCTCAAGTCCCAGGTGCATGGACACAGAACCCAGCTGTCAGCAGCTGTTAGGTGAGCGCTGTTCAGGCTGCCTTTCTCCTCCAGTGGGGCGGGATCGAGGCACGGAGGCAACCGTCCTGAAGACGCGGGTCTCAGCCGCACCCCTCCTCTTTGCAAACGAGGGTCCTAAAAATTTTCTTTCTAGCCGGGGCGCACAGCCCGGAAACAAACCCTCGTGAAGTGTTTAGGAAAAAGGGAAGCCACCGAAATCTTGGCCCCGGTTCGGCCGGGGTCGGCGGGCTCCGCGTTAGTTCCAGGCAAACTCCGCCCAGACCTCTGCCCGGGCGCTTTTTCTGCAGGAGCCGCTCCAGGAGGTAAAGGTCAGTTCCTGCCGCGGAGGCTTCCTGCTTCTCCCGCGAAACGGAGCGTCACTTCGGAGCTAAGCTTTCGGCCAGTTTAAAACGTTTGGTGTCAGTGGGTCAAGTAGCCACGCGGCTGCGCTAGCGTTCCCCAAAGGGACATCGGCGGCACCACAGACCTCGCGCTGGCGGCTCGTCCCCGCCTCCTTCCCTCCCGCGCGCACCCGGCCCCACTCGCACCCCGGTCGGTGCCATCGCGTCCACTTCCCCGGCGCGCAGCGGCCGGTCCGGCCCGGCCGCCCGATTCCAGCCCCGGAGCTCGGCCGCAGAAACGCCCGCTCCGGAAGGCGGTCCTCGTCCCCGGACCCCGGACGCGCGCTGGTCCAGCCCCCCGGTTCCCCGAGACCCACGCGGCCGGGCACCCCCTCTGGGTCTCGCGGTCCCTCCCCGTGCCGGGTTCCTGGCCGGGCAGTCCGGGGCCGACGGGCTCACCTGCGTCGGGAGGCAGCGCGCAACGGGCCGGGGCGGGGGTCTCGGTGTTGGGGTCTCCGCGCTCCTGAGCGGGTCCTGGGCCGGGCGCCGCCGAGGGGCTCCGAGTCAGGGAGAAGAGCGCGCGGGCGCTGCGGGGCCGCAACACCTGTCCCGCCGCGGCGCCTTTTAACCGCACCCCACACCCCGCCTCTTTCCCGGGAGACGGGGGAAGTTACGGAGGGGGCGGCGCCGCGGGCGGGGCGCGCCCGGCCTCCGGGTCCCCAGAGCTTCCCGTGTCCACGAACCCACGACCGCACCCCGAGAGCCCCGAACCCCCCGAGTCCCCTTCGAGGCCCCGAGTCTCCGAGTTCCTTTGAGCCCCCATGAGTTCCCCAAGTGCCCCCAGCGCCCCGAGTCTCCCCCGGTCACCCCGAGCGCCGCCTCCTCCAGCCCTTGGGTGGCCCGGGAGGAGCGGGGGCGGCCGAGCGTCGGGACCCCCAGGCAGCGGCGCCCCAGGCCCTGGCTCCGGCGCTTGCGGCGGGCGGGGTTCGGGGCTGGCTGCGGTCGTTCCTCTCTACTCCGCCTGGCGCGAGAGCACTGGGCGTTCAAAGCGCTTCTTTACTGTTTTATTGTTGGAGAAACAGGCGTTCGTCCAAGGACTGAAGACCTGTTCGGGTGGCGGAGGCTGCGCGCGAGGCTCTCGCGGGGGGTCTAGGCTGGGTCGCGGGGCGGTGCCCTCGGAATGGGGGTTAACGGTGACCGGGGAGGGGGCGCCGCCGGTGCTGGCGAAGTCCCCGCAAAACCTCACCAACCCGCACGAACGCCTTCTCCAATTTCCGATTTGATTCGATTACTTTCAACGATGTGTCAAGGACTAAGGTTGGGGGCGGTGGGGGCGACAAGCCTCGCCTTTGCCGTGGCCGGCAGGGGGGTCCCGCCGTCTGCGGAGGTCGCCCCCCGCGGCCCCGGCCCAGCCAGCTTCCTCCTCTTTTCACAGCTAGGGAACTGCAAGGGGGTGTCTCGGTTTGGGGTGAGGAGGCCCGGAGTTTTCAGAAAGGAGAGAGGGCAGGTGAGATCTCCCAAGCCCCTTCCTGCTGGATGCGCGCAGCGCGAAAGGGGGGCACGGACGGGATTCTGCGGGGGCCCGCGGGGCGGCTGGGTCTGCACCGCACACCCGCTGGGCGCTTTCTGGACACCGCGAAGCTTTGTCTCACGTTAGGAGGTCTCGGTGCTTGCATTTGGTTGGGGATTTTGATGTCTCGAGATACAAATGACCGAAGACAGATTTGCACAGCGCGAGCGGATGAGGAGCTAAGATGTGCAGAGCAGGCCGGGTGGGGACCCCCGGGGACGTCTCCCCCCACCCCCGCCCCACCTCGGGCACCCACTTCGCGAGTTTTGCAGGGGGAGCCAGGTCAGAGGTGCGGCCGGGTCCCCTCGCGCTCACGTTTTTACCCGGGTCAATTCGAAGTTAAGTGGAAATGGTGATTAATCCTGACACGTCAGAGCTGGCCTCAGAGTGGATTTCCTGTGATTGCCACCATTATTAGCATTGACTTTTCCTTGAAAAACGGGCGCCCCGTGGCCATGGGCCGACCTGGGCAGTTTCTGCAGGGATGAGCGTAGAGTTTTGGGTCGCGGGTTACCACCTACTTTCCGGCTCCAGGTCTTAGTCTAAGAGGGAGTGTCTGCTCATGAAGAGGCAAAGCACCAAGAGCTGCCAAAAAGCCTTGCATGGTCCGTCTGAGAGATGTGCTGAGTCGGCTGGTTAAAAAAGACAGGCAAAGCCTGCGGGGTGGAGCGGCTTTCTCGGCCTGAGCACATCTTGGTTGAGCCAGAGGTGACTTGGGGTGGGGTGGAGTGGGGTGCTAGTTGGTGGGTTCTCCCTTTAATTTCTCAAGAGCTATGCTGTTTATGAGTCTGTTGGAGTCCTGGTTGGTTGGAATGAAGGAAGGTTCTAGAACTATTGTGGGACGCTCGCTAGTAAAGATGGTTTGGAGATTGGAAGTTGACTGACTTTCCCCCATTGAAAAATGTCACCTGAGATTTTATTGTCTGTGTCACGATGACAGGCTCAACTTTCTTTTCCTTGTTTTCTTTGATTCAGTTCTCCTTACGTGCAAAATTACTGTGTGATGTTGGCTAGTCGTATTATCACAGCCACTCCGTGTTTTCAGGATTTGTAGCTAGAAGTCCTGCAGCACTTAAGTCTTCACTTACAGATCAGCGCTTGCTTTTATTCTGTTCTGTATGATTTCTGTTGTTTTCCTGTGAGCTGGTGTTCTCTTCCCAACTAGGCTGAGGACTCCTCTAGGGCAGGACAGTATATGCATGTACCCGTGTAGGGGAGGAGAAGGAGGAGAGGTGAGGTGGGAAGAGGGTGAGGGAAGGCTTGGATATTTGAAGTCATTTACAAATGAGCTTAGACATAGATCCAATTAACAGATCACACCACAAATTAATGATTAAACAAATCCTGAAATTATTTTGTAAATTACACACTTAAATTGCTGCATTTTTTTTTCTGTTGAAAGCATTACTTTTAACAGAAATGGAAACATTGGAAATAAACCATGATTTTCTCACCTTTTATGTCTTCATCTCTTAATGTACCAGTCCCTAGAGAACCTGAAGCCCAATCCTGTGTTCCTCCACCCCAGCCACCCAGCCCCGTGGTGAGAGCACAGGGAGCTTAGGACAGTCCTGCTGCCTGCAGCACACAACTTTGTCTCATTGACCCGCAGGGACGGACCAGATGGAGAAGGTGTTTTTGATGGAAAACTCACTGTGGTGTCTGCCTAATTGATCTTGAATGATGGCAAGTGGGCACTTATCAGGTAACTATTGATGATTAACTGACAAGGATCTGTGAAGGCTACACTTTGTCACTTCAGAGTGCCAGAGATACCTATCAGTAATATTTTCACGTCTATGCTTAGTACCATGCAGGTAAATCCCAGGCGATTATCATCGAGCTGAACTTTCATGCAGATGTTTAAAGTGATGCACTTGTAAGGTTATAAGGTGAAAATGCTAATGTTCAAAGCTATTTGGCATTTTGACAGTTGTTTTATAAATGAACCAAAAAGAAAGAAGTTGCTATTGTGCAATAAATCTGTGTGAGACAAATCATATTTCTTAATAATTCAAGTGACTGCTTGCCAACTGCCTGATGGAACGGCCTCGTGAATTCCTGCTGGGAAGGGTGCTCTAAATATACATTAAACATGTCTCGGTTGCATTTTTGACTCATGAATCACACGTAGGTGATGGCAGAAAATGATGCAAGATGCGAAGAGACTGTCCTACCACTTGGCAGTTTTAGGGCAAGTTGGATTCATTGACTGTCTTCAAGAGCCATTAGTTAATGGACCACATTCCCTTTTCTTGCCTTGCTGTTGAAATATTAATAATATTAATAATAACTGGCAAAAAGAGAAACTTTAGCTGTCCTCAAAATAGCAGTTGGAAACTGACAAGCCCCTGGCATCTCTGGTTAATTAATAACTTACACATGATATTGTAATTTTAATGCAGGAGTGGCTCCACTGTGATCCTTTGTGGATAATTATTACAGGGAACACGATTTCACTACAATTTCTCTCTGTGTAATTGAACCACACCCTGACTTATGTTTTCTGAAAATTGTTAAAGTCAGGTCTTTTAGGGAAAATCAGTTGTTCCATTCAAAAAGTTAAAAAAAAAAAAAAGAAAAAAAAAAAAAGAAAAAAAATTCCAGCCTTCAATAATTTAATTGTTCTTTGCTTCCAAATTGAAGACATCTCATAAAATTCTAATTGCCAAGTTGTGACTGAAATTATTATCGGCTTTTAAATTTTCCTCATTCTATTCTTATTTTCACACGTACAATCTTTTGGGGGAAATTCGAACTGCTGGATGTGTCTCCATTTCAAGGCAATGGTAGAGTTAGTTGATCTCCTTGGTTTTCCTGAATGGACACGTGCTCTTACTCACAAATATATCCATGCAGTTATTTTATGATTATCTAGGCAGACTGTGGAGAAATTACAAAGATATTTCCAACTGTATTTGTGTCAAAAAGCACATTTTGGTCAGAAATGAATCCAGAGCTGTAACTCCCTAAATAGGTAATTTTTTTAAATTTACTTCTATTGAATATAAAAAGTAAATTCTGTAAATTATGGTGGCTTGTCAACATGGAAATTCTGGATCATTCACAAGGAAGCAAAAAAGAGCTCTACATTCTAGCTCTGGCTACAAAAATATTGTGCTATCATCTTGAAGGGCTTCTGGAACAAGTTAGAATAGAGTCAACACTCATGAGCTGCTGTAGCAAAAGATGTAGGATTGACAAGGGCAGTAGAGCGATGACTCCTGGCCGTGTTGTATTTGATGGACGACAGTAGCTTTTCACAAAATGCTCATTTTGATGTTTCAAATGAAAACGTTTCACTTTCTAGAACCAATTTCGTGGTCAGTTTAGCTCCTGAGGCCCCAGTCAGAGGGGTATTCTGTGGCTTGCAAAGCCTGTCTTTGGGGATCGGACATGGAATCTGTGGTCTTAGAATTCAGAACTGGGATAATGTGTTAGCCACTCATCTAAGCCATTCCTTAAACGCTTTCAGAGCCATCTCCACTGTGGGGAAAGAAGTTCTTTGTGTTCTCTCATTTAGTCTCATTCTAAAAAAAAAAAAAAAAAAAAAAAGGCTATTGCAGTACCCAGAGCGCACAGTAGATGGCACTGACACTTGTCGGAAAGCTGTGCGCACTCAGGAGGTGGGAGAAAAATCAGTAGGTAAACTTTTCTTCTAGTCTAGCGTTGCTGCGTCTGACCTTATTAATGGGCGGATAAATAGATTTCTTTCCTATCTTTTTCTTTTTTAAATGAAATTAAATGAAGTATAAAAGAATATGAGAATGTGTTGCTATTAGCAAGGGTAAGTAATGCTTTAGGAAACGTTTGGTTCATGTGTGTGCTTTCAGACTGATGTGTGTCCTGGATCCAGTGTGAAATGTACTTTGGTCTGTAGGTCTCTGCCGCAGAAAAGTTGGAAAGCCCCTGTTGTATTCCATTTCCAGGGCAACAAAAGACACCACTGTCACCTCATGTGAAATGGGGTTGTTACTAAGAGGAGAGACAGCAGGGCTTCAAGGGCAGCCCCAGCTCTGCTGTGCTTTAAGTTCACAGTCCACTGATCCCAGAAACCCCAGGTTGGTGAGATTTATTTGTGGAGGGGCTGCTTAGGACCATCATTTCAGTTTGGAAAAAGACGTCCCCCGGGCTCCTCTTTGTGATCTGAGAAGCAATAGCAATATTTAGTTAGGTCTTTTACTAACTTAATATAATTATTTGTCTAAAAAAGGATAGGAGTAAAACTTTGATATGTAGTACGCTCAGAAATCGTCGATCAGTCATTTTAATGGGTTCCATATTTAAAGAACCAGATAGAGACTTTTCATGTCAAACGTATGCATTGAACAATTATGCTTTGGAAAAGAGGAGGCAATCAACATAATGGTTTATATCGTCTCTTTATTGGCTTTGAAGTGAATCAGTGATGGTGGGGAGTTTAGCTTACTAGGCTATTGCTATTAGTGCTATGGGGCTCTAGTACACATAGCTTTCATGGGTGAAGATGGCATTGGTCATCTCAGTCACCATCTGATGGGAAATGTTCACTTACTCTTATAGGCTGCGTGATATTCCATGTAGGTAATTAGGTGGCTGGGCTTTAGAAAGACACAGCCGCTGCTTACAATTTACGGTAGTTCCCCCATTCCAAGGCCCCCAGTGGATGCCTGAAACCTCAGATGGTACTGAACCCTCTATATACTCTGTTTTTTCCTATACATACAAACCTACCATAAAGCTTAATAGTAAGATATTAACAATAAATAATAATAAAACGGAACACCTATAACAATGTATTGTATAACAATATATTGTAATACGATTTTTGTGGATTGTAGTCTCTCTCTCAAAATGCTATCATATTTTCCAACTGTGGTTGACTACAGGTAATGGAACCACAAAAACTGAAACAGTGGATAAGAGAGACACTCCTGTACCAAAGAAAAAAAATAGAGTGTTGCAGCTGGGATGGCTTTACTGCACAAAATATACTTCAAAACAAGGAAACTACCAGAGTTAAAAATAGAGTGTTCAATAACACAATTGAATGACTGAGTTAGACTGCATAACTGACACACAAAACAACATAAATATAAATGAAGAAACCTCTGGGTATAATCTGGTGCAAAGGTGACTGTGTTAATCACTAATCCACAAATTGCTATCCTGAAGTGTGCCAAATGCTTTATGTTTATTTTGTTACATAGCTCTATAAAGAAAGGATTTTTAATCCCATTCTACAGAAGTGGAAAGTGAGCCTTAAGACTCAAAACACTTTAAAAACTACAATGAAGTAACAACTTTTACTAATTCCTTTTGTGTTTTTCCAGAATCTCTCTCTCTATAAGAATGTGATATGAATCTATATGTGAATTGATTCTACATGAATATTGATGACTTTTATTCCCCCTTTTGCACATAAGATAGAATATTTTACATACTATTCTACACTTTGCTTTTCTTAACGTATCATGGGATCTTTTTATATAAGTGAACAAAGAGTTTCTTCACTCACACAGTTTCATAGTATTCCTTTATATGATTATGTAATCATTTAATTAAAAACCCTTTTTGATGGGTGTTTGGATTATCTCTAATATTTTGCTGTTACAAACAACAATATGACTTCTGCTTCCAATTAAAATATAGAATGCAAAATACCATTATTCATATGATAATAACAACAAAAACCCTGATAAAATAAAAATCATACTTTTTTTGGTGGCAATTACCAAAGAACAGTGGAGAGGGTACGCTTTGATGAGCTGAATTACTGGGCATGACGATGAGCAGAGAGCCCACAGCTTCTTTCATACTTGAGGGAAAGTACCTGATTTCTGTGTGGGAAGGTGGAGAAGCAGGCCTCTATGAGTGAAGAGACTTTGTACCTTTAAGAAAAATCTGCCAAAAGATTTGGAGCTGGATTGGAATTTAGAAGTCCACCAAATGCAAAAATAGTTTGGCTCAACGTCACCCCCATCCGTGATTTTACTGCAAAAGTGGCTGTGGAGGCAAGACTGGAAAACAGTTAAACAATTTCATAGTGCTTGAATTGTGGAGCCATGTTATATGCAAGGGAAGCCAAAATGATATGAAATCTATGTCTCAACCTGCTTCCAGCTCACACATTAGGAGAACCAAAGAAACCAGCCATTATACAGTGGTGGCATAGGAAATTCAGGTTAGGCTGAGGAGCAAAGTAAAATGTCCTTGTTTCCATTAGATATCAGTGGTGCACTCAATTTAGTGAACACTACCGCTCAGTCTCAGCTCAACCTGACTCTTGATGAAATCTGATCAGATTCTCATTCCAGCCAACTGGCAGAGAGCAAGGGACTTGCACTCACTAGAAAAAACAAAAACAAAACGCTCCTGGATAGTCTTTTATATGCAATGTCTAACATTCAGTAAAAAAATTACAAGACGTGAGGAAATAGGAAAAAGATCCATATCAGGAGGAAAAAAAACAGTCAATAGAAGCAGATTCACTACATATTGAAAATAAAAGCATGGGAAAATGTACATATACAATGCAAACTTAAATTATAGGGAAGCTGGGGTGGCTTTACTGCACAGAATATACTTCAAAGCAAGGAAACTACCAGAGTTAAAAAGACATTTCAAATGGTGAGAGGGTCTTTTCATCAAGAAGACATCAATCTTGGCCAGGCGCGGTGGCTCACACTGGTAATTCCAGCACTTTGGGAGACCGAGGCGGGCGGATTGCCTGAGGTCAGGAGTTCAAGACCAGCCATGGCCAACATGGCAAAACCCCGTCTCTACTAAAAATACAAAAAATTAGCTGGGCGTGGTGGTGGGCGCCAGTAATCCCAGCTACTTGGGAGGCTGAGGCAGGCAGAATCATTTGAACCTGGGAGGCGGAGGTTGCAGTGAGCTGAGATCATGCCATTGTACTCCAGTCTGGGCAACAGGGCAAAACTCCATCTCAAAAAAAAAAAAAAAAGAAGACATCACTCTTAAATGTGTATTCCCTAAGTAACAGAGATCCAAATTA